GATCATCGTCGCCACAGATTATCTCACGCGGTACGCCGAAACGAAAGCTCTTCCTTCAGGGACTGCTGTGAAAGTCGCCAAGTTTTTCATCGAGTCCATCGTCCTCCGGCCGGCGCTCCCGAGGTTCTGATTACAGATCGCGGATCTTCGTTCATGGCCCAGCTGACGCAAGAGATCCTTCGTCTCAGTGGCACCGGCCATCGTCGAACCACTGCATACCACCCGCAGACCAACGGACTGACCGAGCGACTCAACAAGACAATCGCCGATATGATCTCTATGTACGTCGACGTAGAGCACAAGACGTGGGACAAGGTGCTGCCCTACGTCACGTTCGCCTACAATACGGCGGTTCAAGAGACCACTGGATTCACCCCTTTCCAGCTGGTACATGGTCGGAAGGTAACGACCATGCTGGACGCCATGCTGCCCCATGAGCCATCTGACAACGAGAGCGACGACGCCCAGGCGGTTGCTCAACGCGCCGAAGAAGTTCGCCAGCTCGCCCGACTCCTGATTCAAGACCAGCAACGCGTCGACGCCGGCCGCTACAACCTTCGTCGCAGGGACGTCCACTTCCAGCCCGGAGATAGGGTGTGGGTATGGACGCCCATCCGTCGCCGCGGCCTCAGTGAGAAACTGCTGAAACGGTACTTTGGACCATACAAGGTACTTCGTCGCCTCGGCGAGCTGAACTACGAGGTGATGCCCGACGGAACACGAACATCGTCACGCCGCCCACCACGACCTGAGGTCGTCCACGTCGTGCGCCTGAAGCCGTACTACGCTCGATAGGACTGTGGACCTTTTGTGCTCCAAAAGACTCTTTAGTTTATCGTTCTTTTTTATTTTGATTTGTTTTACACTGCATTGGGGCGATGCACTTTTAAAGGGGGGAGTAATGCCGCGCGCAAGGCTGAGAAAGCAACGCTCGGTCACGGTCCTCCAGAAAGTTCCCGTTTATTCATGTACCGCACGTAACTTCTATCATTTATCCCTGCTTTTGTTTTCTAGAAAGTGCGTGTTCATTCTCGCCCCGATCACGCGACGCTCGAACCGCTTTCGCCGAATCTTCGAGATAGCGGCGCACTCTAGATAAGAGGCCGCCCGCGACCTTGTCGAGTCAGTCTCGCCCTAGCGCTCGATTCTGCTGACACGCCGACTTCGACGCCCGCGACGCTCTGCTTTCTTCTGTTTCCTTCTTTATTTTTTTGGCACAAGTTCGCCACATTAAACGTTTATTTCTTTCTGTTTATTTCCTGTTTTTTGTTTGGTCACCACCCGTGACAGTATCACGATGTCTAGCTTCTGCTTCGATCTCCTCACGTGTCAGGAAATGTGTCCGCAGATGGGTGCTGGAAGACGCGCTCCCACTTGTCGCGGCAGGCGGAAGACTGGCGCTGGGACCCGCGATCTCGGGAGGAACCACAACGGTCGGCATGCTCGGTACTCCAGGCGTGAGCGGGGCGATGCGTTCTCCCTCGACGACAGCCGATGGCACAGAAAATCCATCACTTGAAGTGTTGACGTGATCATCATTGACGGCACGCCGTGCAGAAACTTCCAACTTCGCCATCCGCACTAACTTCATGGACCGCTTCCGCGCGCCAAACGCGCGCACCGTCTTGTACTTCAAACCCCGCATCGTGTGCGACCACGAAACAGACGGGCACGCTACACGAAACTACTCAAAGAAAGTTCGGAAAACGATCGTAAAGATGGCGAAAAACGAAGCGGAGCTGACAAAGCAAGAGCGCGTGCAAGCAGACCACTATCAAAAACAGACGACGCGAGCGGCAACAGCAGGAGAAACGGAAGAGGAGGAGAGCGCTCCGCGCGCGGAGAAATCGCGTCCCAGCCAATAGCAGTCGCGCGCTCCCCCGCACGCTCCTCCAGCGCGCGCTCTGTCCAATCGCGTTCTTGCGATTGCGACATGGAAGAACGGCGACCACGCCGTGACCACGCGGCCGACGCCATTTTGGGAGCTGGCAAAAAAAAGAGAAAGAATTCACGTTCAAAACAAGACTAAGATGGCGGCTGTCGGCCGAACGCGTCGGAAATGGCGAGCGCGCGAAGTTGGGGTTGATTTTGACGTTTGACCGTCGCTTGGATGCTACTCAGGCCTCGTAAATAATTGTTTTTAAATATTTCCCCGTTGTATTTGGTGCTGATAATTACAGAGAAGGTAGTTTAGGAGATATACAACCGAAAAATAAGGTTTTCTAAAAATCGACTTTTTCGCGATTTTTCGGTTTTCAAAGCCCGCGTCCTCCCTTAAAGAGATGGGACGGTAATTTAGTGGGGAGTCCTTGTTACCCGATCTGTAGACTGGAACGACCCTTCCCACCCTCCGGTAGGATGCCTGTAGAAAGGGGAGGACAACACGGTACACAGTAGATATACGTTGGGTATTTTTTGAAAGTTTTGAGTTAATTCCATCAACGCCCGCTGACGATGAGTTTGATATTAATGATGAGATGCCATCTTCAGAAAATGGGGGGCACAGACTGCGTCAGAAGCTATTAAAGACGGAGGGTTTCTTCGGTAAACACGGAAGGCCGAGGTAAAAGCATTGACGCACTCACGATTTCGCCCAATCTAATGATGCACGTCTCTCGGGGGCTTGCCAAAAGTTTTTAGGATTGTTAATCTTTTTTGGCAAGTCAACATAAAAAAAAGGAATGCTTTGCGTTACGTATAGACGCCAGGTAGGCGTCTTCAGCTGCGCAGTATTTTTCCCATGCTCAGGGGTTCCCATTCTGCTTGGCTGAGCGGAAAAGACGTTTTTTTTTTTTCTTTCCTAGTTTTTTTAAAGACTTTGTAAACCAGGGTTTCTGTCGATTCTCACGGAACATAATTATTGGGATGAAATTATTTGCGAGTTCATTTAATTTATTTCTGAACATTATCCAGTTTGTATTAATAGAGCGATTAAGAAATGATGCTTCAAAAATATGAAGGAAGGCATTTAGCTCCCTGTTTATTACTTCATAATTTCCCTTATCATAATGACAAATTCTTTTATCGTTTGGCGTCGTACCAGGCAAAAGTTGAAGGTAGCATAAATTACCTTGTGGTCGCTGATTTTGCGGAGATAAGTAACCGATGATAGGCTGTCGGGATGGCTGGTTAGTATTAGATCTAAGATGTTTGCAGAATCCCGTGAAACACGTGTGGGTTCGGATACCAGTGTAACGAGGTTAAAATCAAGACATACATTAATGAAATCTTCTTCATTGCCTATACCTGAGGGGACCTGGTTGCTTCAGTCTATTTGCAGATAATTAAAGTCTCCAAAGAGACTTTAATTATCCGCTATATGTGCATATTGCGATATGTGCATTTGGGAACGTTGAGGCAAATTCACTAAAGATGTTATTGAGTTTACAAGAAAAGGAGAATTATGGGGAGGCCTGTAGCAGACTCCCAAAAGAACCGTCTGAGGTGAAGCGCAACATATGAGCCATAGTATCTCAAGCTTGGATGTAATGTTAGCAATAGAACATGACAACTGCTGGTGTGCGGCGATGAGAACACCTCCTCCTCGTATGGCTTGGCGGTCATTTCTAGAAGGGCGCAAGTCCGGCATATCGGCCACAACTTCAGCACCAGGGATTTCTTTAGACGGCCAGGTTTTGATTAATATCAACAAATTACTACCGGAGGACAACACGAGATTAGACACAATTTCTCGTTTCGGAAGACAACTACGCCCGTTGGTGAAGATTACAGAAAATGAAAGATTAGTTTCGGTAGAAATCTGAGAGGAGGCTGTTATTTCCTTCTGACGGGACAATTGCTATGCTGTTTCCTTCACAGTCTGTGATGGTTCATCAAAAACATAACGTTTCGGGCCCATGAGTAGTGTTTTAAACCGTAAAGAAACTGGCGTATTTTTGCAAATGCAAGTAGGTATTTGCAAGCATTTTGGACGGGCCGAGAAAAGCCAACACTGAAACTTGTTCCTTTGAACTTGCGGCCATTAGATAGTATGGTGTCTTTTGTCTTATAGAACGTGAATTTAACGATTACTGGGCAGGGGCGGTCAGATGTATGATGTCCAAGACAATGTGGACGCTCTATTTCTTTTGGGTCTGTGGTTATGTTCAAGTGATCACGACAGCGCCAAATGACGAATTGTTCAAATTCGGCAAACGTTTCTGATCCAGTGGAGTTAGGGACGCCATAGAAAATGAGGTTGTTGCGTCGAGAATGATTTTCGGCATCGTCGAAGCGCGGCTCCAGGCCACAGACCAAACGGGCCATCTGAGCCATCTCAATTTTTACATTTTCTAACTCGGTGTGCATGGGGGCGAGATTTTGATAATGGTTTTCGAACGCAGTCCTGCGCCCGCTCAAATCTGATATCCCTTTATCTGTTGTTAAAAGCTGGGTTTTAAGGTCTTGTACCTCTGCAAGTAATTTCGATTGACCGGTGGATAGTTTTTTTTAGCTCGGCTAGTATGGCGTTAGTATCAGGACCAGGATTATTTTCAATGTCACCCGATTGCAACAGCAAGGAACGGATGGTATGGAAGCACTCAATCGAAATAGCAACGCAACACTGCGGGCTCAGCAGCTGTATCAAAAAGTACTTGTTTTTTAAGAGAAAAGACTGGTTTACTAACCTGCACAAACAAGTGGAACGGATGAGTGCATTCTGGCACAGGGACCGAGCCCACCATGACGTGGTGTCAAAGTGTTACGTAATATCAAAGTGTCACGCATTGGGTGTCACGCTGCTACGTTACACCCGGAGGTCGCGAGACGGTGATGTCATGCATGTATCGAATAATCCCCACCCATCTCTTATATGCCTAGTGTATGATCTCGTAGACAATCAAAAAGAGAAAATTTCCTCGGTCTTCCATCTAGTATCTTTGTGTATTCTTTGTGTATGCATTGCTCGCACACTTAATGCCTAAGTGCCTTGTCCTAACTCCCGAATGGGGGTCTGGAGATTGGACCTCCACAGGTGGAATTTGTTGTGTCCTCTTCAGGCGTACAGCGTGGCCGTCCAAGGCCTGACGGAGTACTCCCGGGTGGCCTTTGCCACACCCACCGACCTGACTGTGACGGTGGAGGACTCGCAGTCAGGCGCCACTCCTCCTGAGACCTTTGCAGTGTCCGAACAGAACAAGCTTGTCTACCAGGTGGGCCTCTCTCGTTTTCCCCCAGCATTCCTCTGTCTATTTCCCGCCTTCTATGGGAATTCAAGCTTCTCTCGATCCTATCTGATTAAGACTTTGCTTTTCTCGCACACAGCATATGATGTGTAGGAGTCGCATAATGAGGTCATGTGACTGATGTCATAATGTGCCACTGCCCTTAGCCTCGCCGGGGCTACCTTTTTATCAACGACATTCTTTCGAAGAAATCCAGTTTTTGGTGGCATTGCAAATATTAGCTCAACAAATCTCGTAAGGTATGTTGCTTGGCCAGTTGGTTCATCGTAGTTAAAGACCACGCTCTCCACTTTTTCCCTGCTTCTTCCTCCTTCCCTGTTCACCGTTTTTCTCCTCTCCAGGGTAAGGAGCATCTAGAGTCTGGCCTTTAAGGATACAAAATATATTTAAGAGGGGACAATCACTATAAATATTTAGTGCCCTGTCCCTTTACTCCCTGTCTATTTTTGCGCTATTTTATACATTTAACTAGGTCAACAAAATAGATATGGGCAACGCTTCACCCGTGATGTCGCATCTGTGATATCACTTTTGAGTACCCCTTTCCTATGCTTTCCCCCATCCAAATGATCCTCTCCAAATCTGCCCCTGGTTCCACATGTCCTAGAAAATACAGAATTACAATCGTGCATGATCTTTGTTCCTACCAAAAACACAACTCGACGTTGTGACACACCCCTGTATACGAGACTAAAAAGAGTGGCTTTTCCCTTTGTTATAACAGATAAGAAGGGATAATTAGTTTTGGGACTTTTAGTTAAGGCTACTTGGGTGCACCAATGAGAAATATGGTGCCAAAATCTACTTCTTTTTATGAACATTGCAAGTGCTGTTCTTGTTGATCTGATTTCATCGCCTGGAATGCACTTTTGTTCTAGGAGAAGCTGTTGAACAAGCGCCAGTCCTACGACCTTGAAGCCACCTTGAACAAAGGCAGCAAGGGTTGTGCAGCTGTTCAGGTTTGAAGCCCTTTCTCGCCATACTAACACCGCCTACTCCATTGATGTAACAAGTGGCCTCTATTCTCCTACTAATTTTTATCAAGTATACTCGAGGGTGAGAAAATCTTTAGCGGCCGTTATTGGCAGGAGTCCAGAGCAGATCTCGGTAGGTCTGTTTTTGTACGTCGTGGCAATTTAGAGGGAAAATTTTTCCCCTAAATTTAGCTGGGAATCTGTGTTGCATGATACAGACACTGTAGTGACGTAACAAATTCCCCTCTATATTGAATGAAACAATTTTCGGCTAATTCTAGCGGGAATTCAACGTCGCAAGACATTTGGTGTCGTATGTTAGTGTTACATGATGCCAGGGTGTGGCATGGCATCAGGGTTAGATCGACACTATCGACTAAATTTAGCATGATGCAAGTTGACTAAATTTAAACGGCAGTGCATTGTACTGAAGGATGGGTAGCGTTTTAGCTGTCATTGCAGTTCATTTCCAAGTTAAACTATTTTTAGTGGGGCTGGAAAGGCAACAGTATTTTAATGTATTCTTTTGGGATTTTGCACGCATGCAGGGTAACCAGTTCGCACTAAAAGAGGATTTAATTTAATTTAATGGCTATCTTTAATCTGATATAATGAGCTCAAGCATATAACTGAAGAATTCTCATGTTTATCCTCTTTCCACCCAATGCAAACTTTCAAGATTACAAATGAAGTTAATATAGTTATTATGATCTAAACACACATGTATCAAGAAATGTGCACCTATGCAAGATTGGGCCACTAATTTTGGCAGCAGTAATAATTTTCATTACAGGTAGAAGACTAACAACCCTACTTACTTTTGGCGGAACACAAAAGAAAAACTAGTAAAATGTTTTTAAAAAGCACGCTGCACACATTGTGTTAGGTACTGTTGAAACCGGTTACAGTATAGACCACTTACAACGTAACCGCTTATAGTGCAGGACCGGGTATAACGCGGTTTTTTTAAACCACCGGTTCGCCTCCCATAGAACTCCATGTAATTACATACCGCTTAAAACGCAGGCGCGCAAAGGGAAATACCGGTTATAGTGCGGTTTCTGGCACAGCCCGCCGACCGCGCCGACGACCGGAGCAGCGAGCACGCTTCCCTGTGCGACACTAGATAACGGCGCTGACGACGCGAGCCGCAAGAAGCGGAGAGGCTTCAGTTGCCGTAGCGACGGAGGGACGCACGCACGTGTCGTTCACGTGCGTGCGTCCCTCCGCTGCGTTGGGAACAAACAACCGCAACGACAGACCAATCGCAAGCCGAGGAGAAGTGTTCGCGCGCGTTGCACGCCGGTCGCGGGCCGCTGCTTCCATCCGCAAACATGGCGTAGGTTGTGATCGTCGTCGTCATGGTCGTCGTAGATGGCATGGTGGAAGTTCATCTTTCCGCGTAAAAGCGCTATCCTTGACTGTGAATTTTCGTTGTGTGTCGCTATGATAACCCAGCACGTAATAGAAGGGAAGGTCCACCTACTCGTGCGGCGATGTCGTGGCGGCGCTCTCAAGACGGCAGAAACGCCCGTGTCGTCGCGTTTGTTTACTTCGACTTCAGTGGTGATTTCTAAGCATTTGTGTCCTCGAATATCGCCCGGATTTCTTATTTGGTGCATTTCATGCGTGTCCTCAAGTTCAAGGTATTACTGGCGCGTACCGTATGAAGGATGCGAATTTTCACGCGTTTTCATCTCCGGAGAAAAGTGATTAGGGTTAGCAGTCCTGAACGCTCGCAACGTCCTTCTGCAACCCGCAACGCCGTTAAAAGGCTGCGCCAGGCGAAAGGCGCTCATTTCTTTCAAAATGTGTGACACACTTGAGAGAGAAGTGTACTAGTCTGGTGAAATAAAGACTTTCCTCAAACTAAGCTTTATTTTTCATCTAACATTAAATAAATTGTTTTACAAAGGTAAGTTGTCTGATGGCATTTATTTTGGCCTGAAAAATTGATGCTTTGGTTATAGCGCGGTACCGCTTATAGTGCGGATTTTCGCGACTCCCGCGACATACGTTATATGCGGTCTACACTGTATAACCAAGTCGGTTATAACGAAATGACGGATATAGCGAAGAGATTTCCGATTCCCGTTGACTTTGTTATAATCGGACTCAACAGTATGAAAAATGTGATTTCTAGGTTTTTCACAAAGAGGGGCAGCTTGTGGAGCACATTCTGATTTCATTCACCTAGCAACATCTAAAACAAGTGGTGCATGTATATGTTTGGCACAGGAAGGACTTTGCATTTCTGGCAATATTGGTTAATAACAATGGTGCCACTTTTGTGTACTGCAATATTGCAGACCTGTTGGCAAGTACACTCAAAAACGGTGGTTCAAACATTTGCATTTGAATGTGACCAAGTGTGTATATTTTTTATATACCTGTAAAGCTTAGCAGAAGGAAACCTGCACATATAGGCTTACTCTGAACAGATCTAAAATTATTGAGTGATAAAAAGTTACAAGATCCCAATATCTATAAAAAAAGGGGGCACGCCAAACAAGATACTCAAATAAAGAATGCAAGTGCTACAAATTGTGCGTCAATGTAACGAGCTTGGAGCAGTGACATGAAGGTGTCATGGTTTGTCGTCGGCGGGATTTCACTTGCCAAATCATTCCAGTCAGCCACAATTTGTACCAGCTGGGAAATTGGAATACCGTAAACTCCCGGCTCATTGCCCAGCCCCCTTTTCGGGCCAATATCGATTTCCAAAAGAAACACAGGGTCATGGCCTTCAAATACTCGGTGATCTGCGAACATCCCACCCAAATGACGCAGACCTCACAGCTGGAGGGCGTCCGTGACAAAGTAAAAGGAGAGCTCTTCTTTTTGTTTACGCATTACCTAAGCGAGCAACCTCCAAGTCGTATCCGTGCGAAAAGCAAATGATGAAGATAAATTTATGTTTGGCTTACAAGAAAATCCTCCCGACAAAAAGAAAGCTGGAAACACAAGCAGTAACAGGGATCGTGAGGCAAATGACCGCCCCATATCCTGGAATGGAACCGCGGAATGTAAGGTCAAAGTCAGTCTTTGTTGAAGGTTGCCGCGGATTTTTCTTTGGAGACATCGCGACAGTGGTTTTGCAATGTTTAAGACAAAGCTAACGGGTAAATAAAGTTTTGCTGCAACTTAATTAACACTTCTTGTTGGCCTAGTTGGTTCATGATGCAGTCTAGAGGTTTTTTGCGCGACAATCACAAGTGAGTAGACACGGACAAAACTACCCCTGAGCTTCTTTGCACTAAACAAAATTTACAACTCGGCTGCAAAAAAAAAAGAAAAAAAAGATAGGTTGTAAAATGAAGTTGGCACCGCTCGTGTTGCTTCATCCAGCGTCCACAACGCAAGTTTTTGCCACCACTGACATCGAAATATTAGCCACTGCGATGAACCTAGCCATGCCACTGTTAACCATACGCGTCTTCAATTATGGTTGGTGGCGTAGATTATTAATACTGCCATCTTTTTGCCTTGCTTAACAGCCTTGGTGCAATGAGCATGCATTGAGCTGCTTGCTCATCAAGAAAAAGGCAGGCCGACACTACAACATACTTAAAAGAAAAAGAAGGTCATTAACAAATTTGGTACGAGTTTGTGAAAAAATTAGGGCCCAGTTTAATAGTTGTAAATGGCTACACGCCATGCGATGACGTCTGCATGTTTCTTCACGTTGTCACCGATTGTTTTTGTCAAAAGCTGCTTCTCAAGTAACAAATAGAAATAAGGAAAAAAGGTGAACCCTGTTCACGTTTGCGTTCACGTCTTGCACGAATGAAGGGTTTAACGCTGCATCCGCAGCGGAACGCAGCAATTCTTGGCATCGCATCTCTCGCAAAAAGCGCGGTCGCTTGTTTACATAGAGTCTTTGCCGGCCTCTGGTTTCGTTTTCTCGCCGCTAACAAGATGGCGGGCGTAGTTCTGTGCGCGCTACTAGATGGCGCTCTACATTTCGCATATGGTCTATTTGCACCAACTGCTTCAACGTTTGTAACAGTTTCCATACTTTAGTGTGCTCAATTACCGCTATTTCTGCGATTCTCTCTGCGGATTTTTGTGGTCAACGTTTACCTTGCAATACTGCGTACTGGCTTCCAGGTGAAATACTACTACAACTCGAAGAACAGTCCTGTGCATAAGGGGCTTCAAGTCAATGCTACGTCATCCAGCGTGGATTGCGGAACACTTGCCTTGGACATTTGTGCTCGGTAGGTTATTTGAGCAGGCATATTTTCACGTTGAAGTATGTTCAAAGTACAAGAATAATTTTCTTTGAGCTCACTTAGTCGTGGGTGGATGAGAAAAAGGTAAATTGGATTTTGTCTTAGGAGGCCCCACCAGTGGCGCAGCCAGGGGGCCTCCCCTCTGACATCCAGCAGACTTTATCCTAGCTTGCACCGACGTCACTTGGTCAGACAGAGGGGTGCATGAGAGCTTCTCTTGCGTTAGGGAGATTCCACCAGAATTGGGGCAGAGTGTAGCTTTTGCTCAGTTAACAGCTCCTTCTCGCCACCAAAGAGAAGGGCCCTCCGAAAGAAAATTCCTCGCTACTCTTGCAATCTTTCTGGAACGTGGACGAAAGGGGCCGAAGCACCCGCCGAGGAGAAACGACACGCAGCCTGGTTGTGAGGGTGGCTGACCGGAGCGGCTCAACGGCGTTTATTGGGCGCGGTGATCAATGTTGCCCGCCGAGCCTGGCGGCCACAGACGGGCGGACCAAAGGGGGCGCTACATATGTCACTGGGCCCCACCAGCCATTGCTCAGCTGTAAAAAGAAAACAATGAACAATTAGGATAGAATCAAGAAATGTAGCCCAATATCATGGAGCCAGAAAGCAGTCTCATTCATAAAAGCTAAATTCATAAAATCACATCAGCAACAGTCTCGACAGAGAATAGGACAAAGATGTCTTTTAACACAAATTGAGACATATGGTCACAATCCAGTACTACTCGATACAAATTTTTATAATTTTTAGCATAATTGAACAGGCAGAGATGCATAATACTATCGAGAGTTTAGTACAAGACTGTTCTATGTTATGTTTTAATATAACGATGGATGTAGCATTTTTTGTGTCAGTGACAACAGGGCGCAACAAAAGTTTTGACATTATACAGGCTATTGCTTTGGAGTTAATACATTTGTATTTTGGGCTTCATATATATAATTAATTTCTCAAATTTAATTGCGTTGTTTTTGGGTGATTCCGGAATTCCATTTTGAGAACTCTTATACTCTCTTATTGTTCCCATCGCTAGTTTAGAATAAAAAGTATTATCTAAAGTTTGATACTTGGCAAAGTTTGGGGCCAAATGATCTGTGTATTGACTGTTTTTCAGTTCTGTTCACTGCTTTCTTTTGTAGTCCTAACAACCTGCATAAATTTGTTTCTCTTGTCCCCCCGACTAATAGAATGGGCAGATGCAATGCAATTTATTTCATACCCAGAGTCTTCCAGGTTCAACTTCCTGTGAATGCTCATTTTCTTGGCAGTTACACCGAAGGATTCCTGAGTTCCGCTGCAGTTGTTGAGATTTCGCTGCTTACTGGATTTTCAGCTGATGACCAGTCTTTGAAGGAGGTAAGAGTGGATTTGTTTTGCATTTCAAATGATCATCATCTGCCTATGGTGTTTTAAAGGCGGGAAAATGTTATCGTACCAATTTTCACCTGAGAGGCACTATTCGTAGCCTTACTATCAGTTTGATGGCTGCTTGTAGCATTGAAGCAAAACTTTGATTTTAAAAAGATGTCGAACCATCCACAGCTGGTATAATCCTGTGTCCTTTGCTTGTGTGTGCCCTTTGTTTTTCTTGCACATAAACCCCCCAAACATTCTGGTTCCATAGATGAAGCTGATAGGCCGCCAATAATGATTTCAAAAGGGTTACATGTGGTTTTATTGATACGTGCATTTTTGCAAAATAATTTGCTCGCAAGATAAGGTGATTTTGTGGCTAAACAAAAATAATTTTAATTCAGTTCCATTAGAAAAAACAACTTAATAACGATAATTAGAAACTTATGCAAAGAAGTTGGAACCCAAGGAATAAATGCCACTCAATGGGAAGAGTACTATGCAGCACTAGGTGGACTGTAGGGAAGAAATCGGGAATGAAAGCAACCTTGATGCCGACCTGCAGTGGCTACCAGTGCTGAAATCTCCTATGGATGAGCACAAGGGTTCCTCAAGTGCCATTAAGATATGTTCTTGCATTTTCAGTTGGTGAATGCCGGCGTGATCAAAAAGTATGTTGTTACTGATAACAAGATTCAGCTGCTTATTCAACAGGTAAGACATGTGGTCCTAAAGGGGGGAAAAGCATTGCATACATAACATGCATGCATGAAGTTTTAAAGCATTTTTACTGCTATCCCCAAATCTTCTCCGTCCGTGGATTTCCCACCTAATTTAGCGGGAAAATTGATGAGCTGTTCAGTTTCCCCGCTAAACTGGACCTACGGACGAATCCTTGCTGCGGAACGCATTCCCTATATTCAGTTTCTCTGCTTAATCGGGCGAGAACATTGATGACGCGTGTCCTCACGTCATGTGACCCATACACCAATTCAGGAAATGGGAAAAGTGACGTTGCATGCCCTTACTTCACGTCAACTATAGTATATGTAGTTAAGCTGATAGATTTAGCTGGAAAATTGACGTCGCATTCCCAATATTCAGTTTCTTTGCTAAATTGGGCGAGAACATTGATGACGCGTGTCCTCACGTCATGTGACCCATACACAAATTCAGTAAATGGGGAAAGTGACGTTGCATACCCTTACTTCACGTCAACTATAGTATATGTAGTTAGGCTGATAGATTTAGCTGGAAAATTGACGTCTCATTCCCAATATTCAGTTTCTCTGCTAAATTGGGCGAGAAAATTGATGATGCGTGTCCTCACGTCATGAGACCCATGCAACAATTCAGTAAATGGGGAAAGTGACGTTGCATACCCTTACTTCACGTCAACTATAGTATATGTAGTTAAGCTGATAGATTTAGCTTTAAAATTGACGTCGCATTCCCAATATCCGGTTTCTTTGCTAAATTGGGCGAGAAAATTGATGACGCGTGTCCTCACGTCATGTGACCCATACACCAATTCAGTAAATGAGGAAAGTGACGTTGCATACCCTTACTTCACGTCAACTATAGTATATGTAGTTAAGGGGGGACATGGGTCTTTGGAGCCAAAAACTTCCTAAAACTGCATGCTTTTGAAAATGGTGATGGCTGTTGTTCTTCTGAATCTACCAGGCTTATAATTTCGTGAATGAATATTTGAGCTATAAATCAATTTATAATATCTATGCGGGCTGTATGTGCATTGAAGTTGACTCTAAAACATTGTTTTCACAAAACACAATTTTTGGACTCGTTGAAAATTTACAGGAGGGATATCTCAGCATCTAGAGCAGATAGAAATATAACCGTTCCTGAAATGTATAGCTGAATGTGTGAAGCATACAATGTTGAGAGCAGATTTTTTAATATAAGTCTAGAAATATTTTTATTAGATTTTTTGCTATATTACTTGTTAGCCGTGCATTGAGCACTGAACTTCATTGTGTGGTAAAATCTCTAATGAGTTTATCTTAAAAGCGCTTCCAACATTGTATTCTCTACACTTCGTAGTATCTAGCCATGTGTTAAAAAGAATATTTTGTTGAGCAGTTTTTCTCCTATCGTTTTTCCAAACAAAGGCAGGCAAGTTTTAATTATTTTGAGGACAATGCTACCGACTGAGAAGATGACCAGATATATGAAATCAGCACAAAAAGCTGAATAAGCTTGTGCAGTTTCATTAACTTTGGTCATAAAATAAGAAAAAAAGCTCCAAGACCAGTGTTCCCCCTTAAGCTGATAGATTTAGCTGGAAAATTGACGTCTCATTCCCAATATTCAGTTTCTCTGCTAAATTGGGCGAGAAAATTGATGATGCGTGTCCTCATGTCATGTGACCCATACACCAATTCAGTAAATGGGGAAAGTGACGTTGCATACCCTTACTTCACGTCAACTATAGTATATGTAGTTAAGCTGATAGATTTAGCTGGAAAATTGACGTCTCATTCCCAATATTCAGTTTCTCTGCTAAATTGGGCGAGAAAATTGATGCGTGTCCTCACGTCATGTGACCCATACAGCAATTCAGTAAATGGGGAAAGTGACGTTGCATACCCTTACTTCACGTCAACTATAGTATATGTAGTTAAGCTGATAGATTTAGCTTTAAAATTGACGTCGCATTCCCAATATCCGGTTTCTTTGCTAAATTGGGCGAGAAAATTGATGACGCGTGTCCTCACGTCATGTGACCCATACACCAATTCAGTAAATGGGGAAAGTGACGTTACATACCCTTACTTCACGTCAACTATAGTATATGTAGTTAAGCTGATAGATTTAGCTGGAAAATTGACGTCTCATTCCCAATATTCAGTTTCTCTGCTAGATTGGGCGAGAAAATTGATGATGCGTGTCCTCACGTCATGTGACCCATACACCAATTCAGTAAATGGGGAAAGTGACGTTGCATACCCTTACTTCACGTCAACTATAGTATATGTAGTTAAGCTGATAGATTTAGCTGGAAAATTGACGTCGCATTCCCAATATTCAGTTTCTCTGCTAAATTGGGCGAGAAAATTGATGCGTGTCCTCACGTCATGTGACCCATACAGCAATTCAGGAAATGGGGAAAGTGACGTTGCATACCCTTACTTCACGTCAACTATAGTATATGTAGTCAACCTGTTAGATTTCGCTGGGAAATTGACGTCGCATTCCCAATATTCAGTTTCTCTGCTAAATTGGGCGAGAAAATTGATGATGCGTGTCCTCACGTCATGTGACCCATACACCAATTCAGGAAATGGGGAAAGTGACGTTGCATACCCTTACTTCACGTCAACTATAGTATATGTAGTTAACCTGATAGAGTTAGCTGGAAAATTGACGTCGCATTCCCAATATCCGGTTTCTCTGCTAAATTGGGCGAGAAAATTGATGACGCGTGTCCTCACGTCATGTGACCCATACACCAATTCAGGAAATGGGGAAAGTGACGTTGCATACCCTTACTTCACATCAACTATAGTATATGTAGTTAACCTGATAGATTTAGCTGGAAAATTGACGTCACATTCCCAATATTCAGTTTCTCTGCTAAATTGGGCGAGAAAATTGATGATGCGTGTCCTCACGTCATGTGACCCATACACCAATTCAGTAAATGGGGAAAGTGACGTTGCATACCCTTACTTCACGTCAACTATAGTATATGTAGTTAAGCTGATAGATTTAGCTGGAAAATTGACGTCGCATTCCCAATATTCAGTTTCTCTGCTAAATTGGGGGAGAAAATTGATGACGCGTGTCCTCACGTCATGTGACCCATACACCAATTCAGTAAATGGGGAAAGTGACATTGCATGCCCTTACTTCACGTAAACTATAGTATATGTAGTTAAGCTGATAGATTTAGCTGGAAAATTGACGTCGCATTCCCAATATTCAGTTTCTCTGCTAAATTGGGCGAGAAAATTGATGACGCGTGTCCTCACGTCATGTGACCCATACACCAATTCAGTAAATGGGGAAAGTGACGTTGCATGCCCTTACTTCACGTCAACTATAGTATATGTAGTTAAGCTGATAGATTTAGCTGGAAAATTGACGTCGCATTCCCAATATTCAGTTTCTCTGCTAAATTGGGCGAGAAAATTGATGATGCGTGTCCTCATGTCATGTGACCCATACACCGATTCAGTAAATGGGGAAAGTGACATTGCATACCCTTACTTCACGTCAACTATAGTATATGTAGTTGACCTGTTAGATTTAGCTGGGAAATTGACGTCGCATTCCCAATATTCAGTTTCTCTGCTAAATTGGGGGAGAAAATTGATGATGCGTGTCCTCACGTCATGTGACCCATACACCAATTCAGTAAATGGGGAAAGTGACGTTGCATGCCCTTACTTCACGTCAACTATAGTATATGTAGTTAAGCTGATAGATTTAGCTGGAAAATTGACGTCGCATTCCCAATATTCAGTTTCTCTGCTAAATTGGGCGAGAAAATTGATGACGCGTGTCCTCGCGTCATGTGACGCATACACCAATTCAGTAAATGGGGAAAGTGACGTTGCATACCCTTACTTCACGTCAACTATAATATATGTAGTTAACCTGTTAGATTTAGCTGGGAAATTGACGTCGCATTCCCAATATTCAGTTTCTCTGCTAAATTGGGGAGAAAATTGATGACGCGTGTCCTCACGTCATGTGACGCATACACCAATTCAGTAAATGGGGAAAGTGACGTTGCATGCCCTTACTTCACGTCAACTATAGTATATGTAGTTAACCTGTTAGATTTAGCTGGGAAATTGACGTCACATTCCCAATATTCAGTTTCTCTGCTAAATTGGGGAGAAAATTGATGACGCGTGTCCTCACGTCATGTGACGCATACACCAATTCAGTAAATGGGGAAAGTGACGTTGCATGCCCTTACTTCACGTCAACTATAGTATATGTAGTTAACCTGTTAGATTTAGCTGGGCAATTGACGTCGCATTCCCAATATTCGGTTTCTCTGCTAAATTGGGGGAGAAAATTGATGACGCGTGTCCTCACGTCATGTGACCCATACCCCAATTCAGTAAATGGGGAAAGTGACTTTGCATGCCCTTACTTCACGTCAACTATAGTATATGTAGTTAAGCTGATAAATTTAGCTGGAAAATTGACGTCGCATTCCCAATATTCAGTTTCTCTGCTAAATTGGGCGAGAAAATTGATGACGCGTGTCCTCACGTCATGTGACCCATACACCAATTCAGTAAATGGGGAAAGTGACGTTGCATGCCCTTACTTCAAGTCAACTATAGTATATGTAGTTAACCTGTTAGATTAAGCTGGGAAATTGACGTCACATTCCCAATATTCGGTTTCTCTGCTAAATTGGGGGAGAAAATTGATGATGCGTGTCCTCACGTCATGTGACCCATACACCAATTCAGTAAATGGGAAAAGTGACGTTGCATACCCTTACTTCACGTCAACTATAGTATATGTAGTTAACCTGTTAGATTTAGCTGGGAAATTGACGTCACATTCCCAATATTCGGTTTCTCTGCTAAATTGGGGGAGAAAATTGATGAGGCGTGTCCTCACGTCATGTGACCCATACCCCAATTCAGTAAATGGGGAAAGTGACGTTGCATGCCCTTACTTCACGTCAACTATAGTATATGTAGTTAAGCTGATAGATTTAG